AACTTTAATACTTATAATACTTATATTTACTTCTGCTGTGACACCCTGTTGTAGAAGGCCTAGCTGTGCTTGGGTTTCGTATGTTTCGATGATATACACTACATATACGCTACGGCTACATAACAAACTACATACATATAATACATAACATATACATACCATCAGGAGTGTCATAATATTAAAGGCAAATAATACTTATAATAAAATGGAACTATATATTCTGATAGACTATAGATATGATCTGACTATTATATTATAATATAGAGAGAGAGAGCAGGAGATGATATATAGATATATATAATATATATGATAGACCATATATCTGATCTATAGGCGATAGTCTATAATATTATAACAATCCTGATACTATAACACAGGTGCTGCAGCTACTACCGGAAGATCCGGGCGAGCCCGCTCGTGTCGTCGGCGTCGTCGGCGACTCGTACAGTTCGATCAGCACTCTGACGTCGAAGGCTCTCGGGCTGTTCAACCTGACGCAGATCAGTCACTTCGCAACGAGCGACGAACTGTGAGCGACAAGCAGAAGTATCCGTATTTCATCGCGACAATCCTGGCCGACAATATACGCAGGTGCGGCTGCATGCGTGCGTGTACAAATACCGAGGTGGCGTGCATGCGGTGACAAATACGCAGTGGTCGTGCATGTACAAATACGCAGGTGCGTGCCATGCGCGCGTGTGGCAAATACCAGGCGTGTGTCATGCGTGCGGTGCAAAATACCCAGTGCGTGCATTCGTTGTGCAAATACGCAAGGTGCGTGTCATGCGTGCGTGGCAATACCAGGTGCGTGCTGCGTGTGGCAAATAACCAGGTTGCGTGCATGCGTGCGTGTAACAATCGTGTATAAATACAAGGTGCGTGCGTGTACAAATACCAGGTGCGTGCGTGTATAAATACCAGGTGCGTGCGTGTATAAATACCAGGTGCGTGCGTGTATAAATACCAGGTGCGTGCGTGTACAAATACCAGGTGCGTGCATGTACAAATACCAGGTACGTGCATGCGTGTATAAATACAAGGTAAGTGCATGCGTGTGTCAAATACCAGGTGGGTGCGTACGTGTACAAATACCAGGTGCATGCACGCGTGTATAAATACCAGGTGCGTACATGCGTGTATAAATACCAGGTGCGTGCGTGTATAGATACTAGGTGCGTGCGTGTATAAATACCAGGTGCGTGCGTGTACAAATACCAGGTGCGTGCATGTACAAATACCCGGTACGTGCATGCGTGTATAAATACCAGGTGCGTGTGTGTATAAATACCAGATGCGTGCGTGTACAAATACCAGGTGCGTGCGTGCGTGTATAAATACCAGGTGCGTGCATGCGTGTATAAATACCATGTGTGTGCATGTACAAATACCAGGTGCGTGCATGCGTGTATAAATACCAGGTGCGTGCGTGTATATTTACCAGGTGCGTGCGTGTACAAATAACAGGTGCGTGCGTGCGTGTATAAATACCAGGTGCGTGCGTACGTGTACAAATACCAGGTGCGTGCACGCGTGTATAAATACCAGGTGCGTGCATGCGTGTATAAATACCAGGTGCGTGCACGCGTGTATAAATACCAGGTGCGTGCATGCGTGTATAAATACCAGGTGCGTGCGTGTACAAATGGCAGGTGGTGCGTGCGTGTGTGTACAAATTCGTAAAAATTCGCTTTCAAACTATTTAATTATAAGGGAATGTCATTTTGCAAAAAATTCGCGACCAAACTGAGTAAGAGTTTATAACGGTTTAGAGAACTAATCGCCAAGTATATAGGCCCTATTATCAGGAGTGTATAATATAGAGATATCTCTATATGATGCACTCCTGATATTATCATATGCGGTTTTGTGCATGTACTGTATATTACGAGTCGTTTTATTATTTATTAAATTAATTATATTTATTTTATAATAAGTTATACATATTTATTGAAATTTGGGAGGGGATATCTCTATATACGTACTGGGAATAAATAAATAATATATAACCAAACATGAGCCCTACTCCTGGCGTTAAAATCGCTGTGTCAACGCCCCCCCCCCTCCACCGCTGCCCCCTGACCGCTCCCTCGCTAAACGCCACACACTCATGATGACGTACGCCAGCACTATACGCTCGTGATGACGTCACTCCTTCGCCCCGACACGCACGCAGGTCGAGGCGATAGTATCCCTCATCGAGCGCTTCAACTGGACGTACGTGAACATGATCTACGTCAACGACAACTATGGCCGCAACGCCGCCAAGGGCGTCGCCGTCGCCATCCACGACAAGGACATCTGCTTCGCGCACAGAGAGTCCGTCGATATGCACTGGACCGCGTCGCGCTACGACGCTCTCGTCACGTCGCTGGCGCGCAGCGGCGCTAGCGTGCTCGTCGCGTTCCTCTTCGAGAGCCAGAGCGTCGAACTGGCGCGCGCCATCTACCGGCGCGACCTCGTCGGCCGCTTCGTCGTCGTCGGCTCGGACGTCTTCGCCGGGTCGCTGTCTGAGTTCGCCGGCGTCGAGGCGGCGATCGCCGGAGCGTTCCTTTTCTCTCCGCGGACGAACGACGTGCCGGGATTTCGGCAGTGGATGGTCGACGATGTCGGCGGAGCGCGCTCGATCGCCGCCTCCAGCGCCTGGCTGCGGCGCGTCTGGGAGACGGAGCTCGCCTGCTCGTTCGCCGACGGCTCGTGCGCGGCGACGCCATACGCGCCCGCCGACGCGCTCGTTAGCCCGTCGCTGCTGCACGATGCCGTGTACGCGTTCGCGCACGCGATCCACGCGATACTGAACACGACTTCGTGTGCGACGTCCGGCCCCGGTTCAGGCGGTACTTCCGGTGGCACACCCGGCAACATATCCGGCACCACTTCCGGTAACACCTCCGGCAACACCGCTTCCGGTGACGGCGACGCCGTCTGGAGGCGTCTGCATCGCTGCGTCAACGGCGTCGCGCTGCTGCGGCACATCCGGCGACTGCGTTTCGACAGCGTCTCGTACGGGCCCGTGTCGTTCACGGAGAGTGGCGAGATGCACGGCGAATACCGCATCTACCAGCTCGACGGCGGCGACTTCGGCGGCGGCAGCAGCAGCAGCGGCAAAAGCAGCGACGTCGGCGGTAGCGGCGTCGGCAGCAGCGGCGTCGGCAGCAGCGGCGTCGTCGGCAGCGGCGTCGGCGGCCGTTCCTTTCGCGAGGTCGGCTCCTGGAGTGAGACGACGCGTCGGCTGTCGCTGGACGTCGCCGCGCTCAAGTGGCCGACGCGCGACGGAGCGGTGCCGACGTCGGCGTGCAGCCCACCGTGCGCGCCGCACCACTACAAGGTGCCGATGCACGTGCGCTGCTGCTGGCAGTGCGCCGAATGTCGCGGCGACCAGTCCCTGCTGTCAGCGAACGACCGCTGCGAATTCTGCCCGCCGCTGCACTGGGCAGACGCGGCGACGGGCCGCACGTGCGAGCCGATACCGCCCGACTACCCG